GGCGTTGGCAGGCCCCTTTTGTTTTAGGGCAGCAGTGATGATGGGGTGGATAAGAGAAACCATATCTGTGGAACGCCTGAGTGGACGAAAGAGTACACAGTGTCCCGATTAGGCTACATGAGATTGTAAAGCCCAACAGACCAGTGAGCTATATAAAAAAGCATAAACTTAGGCGGGAGACAGTGAGGAAAAAAGAGGAAGAGGACCTCAGAGGACATCGGATACCTCCACATAGGAAGAGATGAGAGGATATGTTGAATATAGAAAAGTGCTCATGGGCAGATTTGCCTTTTTTCAGTGAGCCAGGTTGGCTCAATTAGAGATGTACATGACAAAGTACACTTCTGTGTGTGTGTGTGTGTGTGTGTGTGTGTGTGTGTGTGTGTGTGTGTGTGTGTGTGTGCTCCTCCTCTGTATGTCTATGCCACAGTTTTGCTATCTGATGTTATTCTGCAGCTTGCAGGCATGAGAAGGGTATTCATTTTTCAAGGATGACTATCTTTCTATAGCAACAGCCTCTGTATATTTCTTACAAGAGCATATACAAACACATATACATGCGTACGCACACGCACACACACACACACACACACATGCTGTCACTGAGGCATATGTAAGCTTGTCATTGATTTTGCAAGGACACTGCCATGTAGCCATATGGCTAGTCAGGAATACAGCATTAATGCATTTTAACTCTTCATTTATTTTTGGAGTTTTTTTGAAAAGGAGCATTTTGGTTTCCACCTGTTGTCACAGAAAATGCATTTTGACCTGATTCTGAACTAATTTTGTTGCTTGGAGTCAGTGTCAGTTTCATTGATGCTGTTTTTCAAATAGCCTCTCACCAATGTGCGTGTAATTACACCTGATTGTCACAGATAGATTTCATGTAAGCATGCATCCATTTACATTTACTCATTTGGCAGACACTTTTATCCAAAGCGACTTACAAGTGAGGGACAACACCTAAGCCTCAGTGCAGTAGGAGACCTTGATGTAAGTACTTAGTATTACATCTATTCAATAAGTGCAAGGAGAGTCCAAGAGTCATTGGGTTTCCTGCTGCAAAAAAACATTGCAGATGTAGCCGTTCATAATATGCTCCTGGTAAAGAGCATATCAAGAAACACGGGGAGAAAACAAAAATAAGCTGCAAATCAAGCAGCAATGAGACAATTAATGGTCAACAACAGAGTTTTTAACAAGGAAAATCTGAATTTTAGTAATTTTATGATCAGATTTTGTTCATTTTTATTATTTAAAACACTACTCCTAATAAGTGATTGATTTCCATATCTCTTTCTTTTAAACCTGCATTAAATGTCATTTTGGCCAATCAGGGGCAGGGCAGCATACTGTAAACACAACACTGGCATATACAGTAATCACCTTATTAAAAAAACCTGTTGGTGAGAGTAAGTTCAACATTCACTCTACTTTTAACTTTGGTTTGGTCTCCACCGGCTCCTGAGGGAAATATCTGTCTCTTGAGCTGCTAAATGCTAATGCATTACATTCATGAGCTAGCTGCTATGCTTGTCTGTTTGCTGTTTGATGCTGTGCAGGTCGGATACAGCAGATTTTTCTCAGATGAGCTGTAAAATGAAAGAGGTACTCCGTAGAGCTGAACTGCAAAGTCTTGTGATAATTCCGCGATGGTTTGTCATTACGAACCACACCTTACACATAACTTGTATTTTTCCCCACTGTAAATATAAAATATGTTGATGCAGCTTTAAAAATAAAAAAACAAAAGTAGGATCCCTGTTTATGATCCAACTCCAGACTGGACCTTATAACAACATTTCTGTAGATACTGAATCCATTGCAGCACAGGTGACTCTGTCTCCCTCTTACTTTCCTACAAAGAAAGCAGTAACGGCCAGCTCAGTATCTGAACGTCATCACAGGAGGAAATGTCACAGAGCAAAGCACCCCCAGTCATTCAGCCCACTGTTCTTCCAGCTGACAAAATGTTACTGTCATAACCAAATGAGGGCTGGGAGAAAGTGGGCGGCTTCTGCTCTGCTTTGCTCTAGCAGGGCAAGTCCTATCCAAATTCCAACTCTGACAGAATCCAGGATACAGGCGCCCCCGCTCCCCTGGGATTAGAGCAGCAGGAGGAAAACTGGGAGTGCCATGGATGTCTACACTGGAGGAGCCCAGTATGACTCACTGGAATCAGGTGCTCCAATGATAACACAGGAATCGGGGATTGTCCATGAAGCAAACATTGATGTAACCACATTTCTTGATAACACAAATATTTTCCTGATTCAATGACTATATTTCCGAATCATTTGGGCTGGATTTCCATATAATGTTACATAGCATCTCAGTAACTAATTGAATCAGCTGAGAGACACGCATCACTCTAAGTATGTTCGGTATTTGAGAATGAACAATGGTATAATTATGCCTGCATTATAACAGAGATGAATTAATGATTTAAATGTAGACTTAGGTGGAAAAGAATTATGCACAGGCCCTTCGCCATAAATAAGATTCATTAAGACGCTGATAAATGCACATTTCATATTATCGCCATATTTTCTCATCAGGGCACTTTCTGAATGAATCAATACTGGTCTAGGTGGTGATTAGAGCGCTGATGGATCAGAGCCAGGCTGCCCTCTTAATGGTAAGATTTTCCATCAACATGACTCCGGATCACTCTTATTCATCATAATAGGTAAGGACATGGGCATATGGAAACCTTCGTTTCCCTGCAGCATCATTAAGGTGACTGATTGTGGATATGGCCTGTCACTCCACCACACAGTCAGTCATCTGATGAAGAGAATTCATATTCAGAAGGTCTCACTTTCATTAATACAGGGCTCGACTACATTGAAAGAAAGAGACCCCATGAAAACATAAGTGACCTTGGGATAATATATGCTCTTATGTCTTTTCAGTGTGTCAGGGACACATACACACACACACACACACACACACCCCCCCACCAACTCCCTGTCTTGCGCGCTTACAAAGTGGCATAAGAAAACAAAACAGAGCATGAGGAATAGATACTGCCTGTCTCTTAGAAACTCATCACTGTGACATATGACATTGACAGACATGCTGGAAAACAGATTTTCTCCTCTGCCCCATAGACATTTGTCTTTCACCCCGTGTTTGTTCCTGCATGGATCAAATAGTGGAAGATGTGAGCCAGATGCTAGACTGTCTGCTGACTAGACTCAGTTACCTAACACTGCAACTGAATCACGGATCGTTTTCTGGCAACGTATCCACATTTTAAAATTAAATCCCACACATTTGGCATCTGAATACCTTACCAAAGGAATTTAAGGAGCCAAAGTTTATGTAAAAAGCAAAACAAACATATATGCTTCTCTGTTATGTTTCTGTGTTTAATAGTGATAACTTTGCATTCCAGTTTTGTAGATTACACAGCAGAGGACCATATGTTTTTTTTTTTTTTAAAAACTATACAAATTTACCACATTCCTAACTTAGATGTTACAAAATGGGTGCTCCATCACCTTACAAAAGCAGTGCTATGGGATTTTTAAAATGAGGGAACACTGCCATCTGCAGGGAGTTCCACTGACTGAATGATTTGATGTATATCAAACTAACAGAGATAAATGCATGTTTTATCAAATTTGTCACCTTCTCAGGGACAGTGTGCTCTCTAGAGCCACATAACTCAACTTCTGTAAACTGTGTGCACAACCTATGTCACACTGCCTCTATATTTAATATAGTATCATAATATTTAGAACACTAATAACACAGCTGTCATTTCTGTAAAATGTTCACAAAGGACAAGCCTGTGGGATAAGCCAAGTGGAAGTATATACAAAACAGACAAAATATTTATGCCTTGCCCAAAAAGCATAAGAAAGAGATGCATCATTGGCTCTTTCTCAGAGTAATTTACATTTCTTCTTCCCTCCTTGGTTGGTAATTGTCATGCTGTTGTCTATGCAAGCCTAAATATGGCATCCTGTCTTCCTCCCTGTGAGTACCACAGTGTACCTGGATTTAGTGGCAGACAACCTTACACATCAACAGACTCTAAATAACATTGCTTCACTAAGGAGGAGGGGATCATTAATTGCACCTCTGTGGCGTTTTTATGAACTTTTGGAAATAGCTAGATGGTTCCAGTAAAGAAAAAAAAAAAGAAAAAAAAGAAAGAAAAAAAAGTTGAAAAGAAAGTTGACAGAGACTGAGTGCAATGGGACCCCATGAGGGCACCACGTTCATCAGTTTAGAGAACATATGGAGTGGAGGACCACGTCTGACACACATCTGAGCCGGTGGGATTAAAGAAACAATGCTGTTTCAGTCAAGTTGGGTAAATCTCAAAGCTCATCTTTTTTTAAGACGGCATTTCAAGAACCCAAAACAAAACTTGTCCAGAGTGGGTAAATTCAAAAAATGCTGGACTTTCTTTTTAATGTGGGTGAGGAAAACAAAGCTGTTACAAAACTGTCAGATTTGCTTGTATGTGCTATGTGGCAGAAATGTTACCAAGACAATTTACTTTCCCCTCCAAAGCATAAAGCGTTTCTGCAGGGCTCTGCATGATGGGAAAGTGGTCTTTTTTTGTCAACTAAAGTCTGCATCATCTGTGCACAGCCCAAAATTTATGACCAAATGGACAGAAACTACATGCGAGCAAACACGTGAACACAACCATGTACGCAATCACCCACTGTTGTATAAACAGACCCTTGTGTCTGTTGTCAGATTATATCTGTGCAATCATTTTTGATTCCATAATTCTCAGTGATTAATTGGTCATATATATAAAATATATACATAATACAGGTGTTGTTATTACCTATTTGTGTATCATGACTTTGTAGCAGCACTAACAAATGATGCTGTAATGCAGAAATGTTTTGTTTGTCTACTGAAAAGTTGAGGAATTAGCTTTTTAGTGTGGACAGATGTGTTTACAAAAATAACTTTAAAATGGAAACAGTTTAGGCAGCTGAGTAAATTCAGTTTAGTGTGCTCACCTTTGGTTGAACATCCCTCTAAAGTTGTAGTTGGCTCTATAATTGGGCATGGGCTTAGGATCCAAAGGCCTGTATATAGCTGGCTCTCCTCTCTTCATGGCCAGACCATTCAGCTCCACTGTGGGTGTTATACTGCCTGTGTGAGCAAGCATGAGAAAGAATACATTAGATATGGTAGATTAAAACCAGGGCATCTAAAATAAACACTAAGCACCCACAGTTGTCAAAATAATATAGAGGACATTACAATCTAACATAAAAAAAAACTGTTTATATCAGGTGCACAAAGTGACTTCAAAAGTTGCTGTATTCTGCTTAAAAACTGTAAAACTTGCATGCACTGCTAATCTCACAGCTCCACACTGATGTTGCATAACCAATCACAGAGCTTTCTTAATCCCATTAAGAACTAGCTATGATGTCTTTCACTACCACAACGCCACAGAGGGCAGGGGAGATAAGACAAGGCTAGTGGTATTAATTTAGCCAGTGACAAAACACAAGCCCGCACTCATGCTTTAGTAAGAGGGTCTGTACTGGTTGTGTTCTGAACAAGGACTATTTAAATATATCCAGAGAGGTTTGAGAGCTTTGCCTGGAGGTCAACCTCCTCAGAGTGAGAATCTAAGAAAACACTGAAACTTTCCATTATTTATAGAGACAGAAAGGCATTGCAAGTACCATCATGACACAAATGCTTTGGTGTGTTTCTTCCCCTCAGCACTTCAACTTCAGGATCATACCTGCCCCTGAAAAATAGTGACGTCTTTGCTGTGTGAAGTCACTTTTGAGTTCTCCCCATCTCCCTCTACTAGGATACACAGTATTTCGATTTCAACACCCAGCAGACCCAGCAGAGGGCTCTAATGCAGCAATTTGTTGTTGGGTTAGAGCCCTCTGCTGGGTCATTTTGGATAGCCCCAATCTTTTGTATTAAAGCGGTGCCAGTTACTCATTCAAAGTCTAACTAAATGAACTTTAGCTCATTTAGCTCACAAGTCTAGCTGTGAGTCCTGTGGACAGATATACAGGGAAACAAGTATACAAGTGACAAACTGATTTAATGAGCCACAACAATATGAAACTGCTATATTGTGATGTTGTCTCTAGTTCTTCGCTCATACCCCTCTGTATAAGCTACTTTGTTACAGAGTTGCATTATACAACAAGGAGAATCGAGCATTGCAGCTACATTAAAAATATTGTGTTCTATGATGGATTGTTAAAAAATTTGAGGACTGTGTTTTGATGTCATTTTAGGCCTTTTTCACAGCAGGGAAAGAATGGGTATTACTAATAACGTGAATGATGACTCAGTTATATTCAACTGTCTCTGTAAGCCATGACAATGTGACTTTGAACTACAACTAAATAGAATTCAGCCATCATTTATTTTATTATTTGAACCATTTCCTAGTTGTAATGCTCAAGACGAACATATCAAGCGAGGAAAATAAAGGTAATCATTCACAAACACTTTCACAGTAAAAAAAACAGATTATGCTGTGGTTGCAATACCTGGGTTGCTGTTGACGTCCACTTTAGGGGAGCGGGGCGCTGGCCTGGGAAGGACACTCTCGGCCAGTGCTTTGGCGGCTGTGGAGTGCTGGGCCTTTTTAATGCTGGTGCCCTCCGCCTCCCACACCTGCTCCCCAAGAGTCAGCTGCACTGTGAAGATCTGGAACAGTGACACCCAGAGGGAAACACATTACCCCAGCAGACACAACATTTTCACTGACATCCCTCTGGAGCCCATGTGGCAGGAGCTGGATGTATTCTGCATGATCAATATTCATTCACGAAAAAGTAATCTGAAACACATACTCCATGACATACTTGACACTTGTGACATTCACCTTGCGAGGCAGCTGGATTACTCGTAAGCGAGAATCCATCTTGCCAGGGTCCAAGCTATTCGTTTGTGGTCGAACCACAGTGGTTAAGACCAATCAGCGTCTTATAAAGGAGGAGCTATAAGCTATCGGCGTATCTTAGGTGTGATGACAACGACAAGCCAACAATGGTGGTTCCTAAAAAGGTTAGCCTAGATGTTGCTATAGCATCAGTTATGTTAGAATTGGAGAGTATTTCTTCATTGGAAGAAGAACAAAGAATGGCACAGACAGCTTTACTCCATTGAAAAGGCTTCAGCAAGAGTTGAGTTGAGTTCCCAGCTGGCTTCGCTCATATTGAAAAAATTGATATGGCATCTGATTGGTTGAAGTTAGCCCTTGATAGATGGTGAACAGTTTCCAATTAACCTTCCCAATGGTTCTGTGTGTCAAACCATCTGGTACGTCAGGTTAGCATGACATTGTATAAAATAAAATAAAATAAAATAAAAGGTTTTGAAAATGTCCACTGCTGTTTACTGATTATCATTTCATATCTACAACTGAATGTTCTTCAGGCCTTTAAAAGGAAGTTCTTCAGTTTTAAGAGTTTTTCTTTCTTTCTTTTTTTTTTACTATTACTATGAGGTTACAACTACTCACCTTGGCATGTGCAGGGCCTCTCTCATTGAGGAGCTTGTACTGTGGTTGGATCCTATTGAAACGGGCTAACTCATTCACCAAACACATTGGAGTTTTCTCTTTAGGGTTTGCCATGTTCTCCTGGGGCGGGCCTAAAAGAGAGCACAGCAGAATAAATGATTTACTCACCAACATCGTTATAGCACCAGAGATATGCATGAATAATTATTGAGTATTGATATAGGAAATTCTATAATATGACTGACTGACTGGCATGGGATATTCATATGTAGTAGCAAGCATCTTGTGCAGTAATTATATGTCAGAAATGCTGTTTAACACAAATGTTGCATGTAATCATCATGTCTTATGCACAACAAAAAATCTGTTAACTAACCACATAATAAGCAAATAAACCAAGAGGCATGAGCACAAGATATTTACCCCCTTTAGCAGATGTGCAGGGGCTCAGGTGTGTTTAGATTTGTCTGAAATTACATGATCTTACGGGCTAGTGATTGGCATTTAAGATTACAGCTTACAGCGAGTGCAGTCAATTGGCAAGAATCATTATCAGTAATTTAATTACCAACTTAACAGGTTCACAGTATTATGTGCCAAGGACTGGAATAAGAGCAGTGTTTGGTTCAGAATTGATTAGAAAATTCTGCATTCAGTTTAAGCAGTCTGATCAATACCCTGAGGTAAAATGTAATCTTGAGGTAGGTTGTCTCCTGCATTTGAAGCTGGTCAGGAGCTCATGGGACAAGGTTTTCAAACTGTCCCACGCATTTCTGATTATGTACTTCCTTTATGGCTTGAATCAATATCAGAATAACCTTGTCACACGATTAATATTGTAATATATGACGTGTCGCTGTGAAATTTTGGCAAAATAATTGAACAATGTCGGCAATACTGAAACATTTCATCTCTCTTATATTGTCTATGGCAATTCAAAATAAAAGATTCTGATGAAAAGTAAGTAGTCCATAATTTGTTCTTCTTCTTCAATCGTCAGTCTACCTGGCGGTGTGGCAGACACAGGGGCGTCCCCATATCCGACTGCAGGAGCAGGGCAGGCGGGTGTGGGGGCCGGGCCTGTGCCGTTGACGGAGGGCTGCAGACCCAGGGATCCTGGGCTGGCCATGGCCGTTGGGGGAACTCCGGGGGAGAGGCCAGGACCAGCCAGGGGTGCTGAGGTCTGTACTTTCACTTGAGCCATGCTCTATTCCTGAAACCAGACAACAATTAACAACTTAAAAGTTTGTTTGAAACACGCTAATCATTGCAGACTGTAATTAGTATGGCATTCAGTAAAGCATATACCTCTGCAAAGGCCAAACAATCCTACACATGTCTGTGTGATCCAGATTATCTTGATGTGCACCATATTGCACAAAGTCACAGATCTCAACACCATTAATGTCTACATCAAGAGCCATACAACATTTCCAGAGAAATTAATGAAGCTGTTGAAATGTTAAGGAAAAAGATTTTTTTTTTTTTTTAATTCCTAGTTCCCTCCCTTTAACCAGATCTGCACCAAAATTGAACGGGTTCGTCCCTGGCCCATGACCTATCCCTCCACCAAGTCTGGTACAAATCGGTTCAGTACTGTTTACATAATCCTGCTGACAAACAACCAAACAAACAGACATGGGTGAAAACGTAACCTCATTGGTGGAGCTAATAATGATACCACTTTACATAGGCCACTAGTGAGAAAATCTGAGCTATTTAATGAAAAAGATTAAATTTATAATAATTTAGGTTGCTAGTATACCTCAGACTGAACATCATTAGGCATTATGCATTTATCTACACAAACATGCACAGAAGCACACATTAAATCCACTCAATTTTTGGTTTGAGGTTTAAAGCTGTTCACTGTCATTTGACAAATTTCTGTGGGCAAAGCCTGGAGAACAGGCTTCAAACTGAGCAGCCCTAGGCCTATCTCACATTCTGATCCACTGGCAGCTAATACACCCAGACAATGAACCTTTATTTGAAGGAGCTTTGCTCATGTTACTGCTGCTAAGCTCCCCGGAAAAAGAAGGGAATCCTGTGATAGCAGCCTGAACAAGACAGTGGACATTCAATGACATTTTATTTGAGACTAAAGAGAGGTGTGTAGCCCTACATCGAGTAGACACAGGTTAATATGAACAGCAGAGGGCCCAACAAAACACATGTTAACTTTTTATCCATCCATACAGTATTTTGGCGAATGCAAATACACACAGGTCATGGCCTGTGGCTATGCAATATAAGTGATATGCTACAATGTGCTTTTCATTAATGAAATATGATGACTGAGTAAGTACTGAATCTTAATGTAAAAACTCAATTAAAAAGGTACAAACTGTATCACAACATCTTGCCAAAATGGCCCCACTGCTGTTTCACATTAATATGGGGCAGGCACTGAAGGGAAATGAGGAAAATTCATTTCATATCCCCACAGAGGTTAGAGCCAAGGGGTCAGACAGAGAACTGAACCCCTGGGGTGTGCAGTGTCTTGCACTAGGACACTTTATGAAACGGCAGCTTTGAACCTGGTCCCTTCAGGTGTTGGACAATATCATTAAACACCACATTACCCTGATATAAACTGATCAATACATTGAGTGCGCAAAAATCAATAAATTATTCTTCAGCTAATAGATGAAATGAAGACAGGTCTTAGATATCACATAGGTCAATTGATACACTTTTCGGACTAATGCTTTCATGGGCTTTCACACTGATATCACAATTACAGGTGTTGTTCCTGTGTTTACAGTTGAGGGCCATGGCTGCACTGATGTAAACAACAGAGCAGTGGCATGGCCATAAAACCACTGATATCGACTATATCCACAAATCAAAATGCAGTTTTTACTATGGCGCGTGACTGTAATTAATTGCATGCAGTCAAATTGTTTTCTGTTTATTTCTTCGGTGCATCTCGCGTGCCCCTGAGGTTCTCGGGGTCACTATCTGCCTTGCTTTTCTTTCACTCTTTCACAGTAACATGCACACATACCAATGCCAACAGCAACCTAAATGCACGGTTGTCTTAGACAGTAACTTGAATATGGAGGTTGTGTTACGTTAGGGCTGACTGACAAGAGCTACACGGCTGTCTGCAACCCCTGAACCTACACCACAGCTTCGACTGTGTCCAGCTTAGCAGGAAGCTAACGTTACCAACGAGACTACGGTATTTCCCGCAAATGTCAGTTCCTAAAAACACACCAACGGAATGGGCAAGCATGCATGCTGTCATGAATATGTCACTATGATTCCTCCTGATGGATACACACTAGCTAGCCACCTCCAGTTACGCTAGTTTAGCCGGTTAAAGCTCATCATGGCTGATCGGCCGAGCACCCCTCTTGCTGGCATCTCCCTACCGCCCCATCCTCCACGAAAGTCTGGGGAATTTCAGTCCACCGCAACATCATATATGGACTGGCGACAGCGTGACGAATAACCCAGACACTATCTGACAACACAGGGACAAATATTTTAGGGTAATTTTTACCTTTGTCCAGGGCCAGACCCCAGTTACACCTCCAACATTGGCAAACACTAAAGAGAACTGGATAGAAGAGGGAACAGACCACGTAATTTGTCTGGGTAAAAAAAAATGGAAACATGTCCCATTAGAGGCAAATGGCTTGACAATTTATTATTTCATGTTTAAAGTTTGTGTTTTCTTTATGTGATTAGTATTAAATATTGCAAATCGCTAACTTACCATGGTTAGAGTTTGGGGAGAATCTTGAATGAATCAGCCACCCCCGCGGCGACAGGAATGGTTCAGTCCTGGTGTGCTTCCTCAGAGCCTTCAGTGTAACTTTGATTCAGAACCAAAATGAATCTTTTCAAACTTGTTTTCTGCACACGGCATTTATGTTATTATGTCATTATTAACATATGAAAAATGTTATGTGATTCATTTCACACGCACAAATATAATTGAAACTTGACACATGCCCTGAATTTATAATTTAGAAAAAATTTGGATCACTTGGCCTATTTTCTCTCAGAGAGGCTTCTTCATTGGGTGAGCTTGATTATAAAGTTTATTAGCTTAAAGATGGATTGTTTTGGTCTGAGAAAGTGAACACATTAACCCCTACAAAGCGGTGCCTGCTGCTGCTGATAGAACTGAATGCCTCTGCTCAGTGCTCATGGGCACTTTGGCAGGACAGGTGTTCACTTTTGAGACACAGTCTTGGTTCTGTTTAGTGAACCACCATTGGTAGAGAAACCACATCCAGGCAGTGATATTACTGATGGATAAAAATAGCTAAAAGTAAGAATGGGAATTGTGGATCCTCCTCACAGGTAGCTCTGACAAGAGTATTATTATAGTGTGACCAATAGATGGTGCCACTAAACCACCTTTTCTTTAGTTATTGTGGTGAGCTTTATGTCACACAGGGACCAGTATGCTGTCCTTTACAAATAAGACAGTACTGTAGTGAAATACTGGCTTCATCCTCTGTCTATTACCTCTCCCACACATCCATGGTAACATAACAAGAATCCCTCCATTTTTTTTATACTGTACATACAAGAGCTTCAATTGAATGTACTGAACAAAACTGAATGTTCATAAAGAATACCGTCTTGGAGCTTTGCAAACAACATGTATATGGGGCACACAGTTGAGAAGAAAAATACAAGTAGTTTGGAGCCTATGTTGAATGCATCCATAGCTTTAGTGTAGCTGTACTCAAGTAAATGGCTCAAAACAATTTTTTGCCACATGTAATTTCACATGGTTGTTGGTGTGCATCAAATACTTAAAATGATAAGTTTTTATGTGTTGTAATGCAGATTGTTTCAAAGACTTTATCAATTGACCATTTTCTAAATACGTGACAGTTTCTGTTCAGTTCTCCTCATACATATTTGTGGATACTTTTGGCAAATGCAGTACGATTTGGTGAACAAGCACAACATCTGTGCCCTTCACTATTTACAGACAGATTTGATTGCGACTTGAAATATTTTAGTAAAACCCAAGTTTACCCAATGGTTCACCATCAGACAAACATTTTCTTCCTCATTTTGGCAGTGACCATCCTACACTCCCTTTAGAGTAGGACTATTTAGTTTTAATGTGTGCCAGCATAAAACCCATAGAGGCTTTTTACAGGCTGCAGAAAAAAGACGCATTTCATATTCAAACATTGTGCAAACAGGAGTCTGAATAAAAGTGAATCTTTGCTTTTATTATTGATTATGAAAATGAACAGGCACCTATTATATGGAGCTTGCACATCCCAGAACAAATTTTCAAATATAAATAAACACACCCTCATTAGTGTTGATCACTCACAACAACCTGCAAGCTAAGAGTTCAAACCACATTGAAAAGGAAAGAAAACAAAACAAAAAAAGAAAAACCATCCAAACCCTTGTAACATATTCACTCGCAAGTTTTTCAAATCTCTACTGATCTACTGCCAACTGGGTGAAGGCTTTTTTGTCCCCGCACAAATGCTGTTGTGACTGCATTTACACAATCAGTTCAGTCCCGCCGGCTTTTTCTTCACAGCACAGTGACAGCAGACAAGACCATTACAATGAAGCTAATAATTATTTAAAAAACCATTGGTTAAATAGATGACTTTAAGTTATCAATATAGTTTTGAGATAGCAGTGTGCTGTGGTAATCTCCTCTACAGTTTAGAGTATCATCACATTCACTCAAGTTCATTCAAGAAACTCAGCTAGACCCTGGAAAAAGCAAATGCAATACAAACAACCCAAGAAGGAAAATTCAAGTATCTCTGACTGGATGGCGATAAACATTTCTTTAGGAATGGAGTGATTACAGTCTGAAATGACAGAGAGATCCTCTGGAGGTGAGGTTTGTAATATCCATCCCATAAACCATTACTTAAGTTATGGAAAGACTAAAAGTTGCCACAATATCTGATGCCAATAAGAAAAAGTAGGGTTTAAAATTGCATGCATCCCCACTGTAAAACTACTAAACTTTTTTTTTTTTTTTTTAACCAACAGTAGTGTTTGTTGTTGACTGTACACATCCTAATTAGCAAAAGATGCAGACTAACGTCCAATGAAATAAAGCACTCCTATCATCATTCTGCTATAAAGTAAATGCATCCTCTGCTAATTTCTTTCACATCATCCAGCAATTTAAAGACTTATATACAATAGTTTCAGACATGTTATAAGTTTACAACATAACAGTCTCTTTTGGTGAAAATATAGTTAAATTCAAAATATCTGATAGGTATCTTTTTAGAGGTGATCTCTTTATTGAAAAAAGTACCTGAGCCAAAACTCTGACCAGGGGGAATCACAAAAGCCTTGTCCTTACAACTTCTAGAAAGACTCTCCTTTTCGTCATTCACTACCTTTCTGGAGATGAAACGAAGATTTAAATTAAATAACAAATACAAAAAGAAGAAAAAAAAAAGAAAAAGAAAAATCAATCAAAAACATACTGACCCATCAAAACAACCCCCCTTTTCAAAGTATCAGCTAGTTGAAAAACAGTACAAAAAAGAACGCGACATTTAAAATCAAACATTTTAGAAGATTAAAGCATGAGATTTTAAAAAAAAAAAAAAAGAAAAAAAAAGTATCTTACAAATAAAAACGGAGCATGCGACAATGTTCTCTTACAGACATTCTTTAAATGGAAGAGAGGCCGCTGCACATCTTCAAGGCTGGACTAGTGAACACTACATGGGTTCAGCCCAACTTTACGAGGAGATGCACACTGAGGTCATCAGCTGATTAACCTATAGTCGCATCTGTTGTATTCCTGTACCGACATTCTGTCCAACAGCAGGAAGAACTGCAACCAGGTCTCGAGTTGGAAGATGAAGAAGAAAATTGTGTGTAAGCTTGATGAAGTGGTTACAAACTAAAACCTGATAAATAAGTGGAGGACTGCTTACAGTATAACTGCAAGTTGGGAATAATGTACTCATAGTGCCTTTTTAAACTAGATACTTTCACAGTGCATATAATAATAATAAAAAAAAAACAAACAGATGAAGCATTTTCTTGGGGTTATGATGGTCCAATCCCTTCCAGAAAACAATTAGATTTGGATTTCTCTTTGTAGGCCCAAGCATGCATCCATCAGTTATTATTGCACAACACAAGGACCTTAAAATGCACCCATACACAAACAAAAAAGTAACAATAATATCTTAAAACAGGAATTATAATTATCTCACTACAAATCCACCTTGCTTGCTCGCTGCATTACTACCTTTTTGCCAGAAACGATCCTTCTCAGGGGCATCTAAACGTTCACTTATTTTCATTCTCTATATTACAGCCGACTAAAACATGCATCCATCTGCCCGCGGGGGGGAAATGCAGTCAAGAGCCTCCAGCGCATGGTGTCCATTGTTCCAGTCAAAGGTCAGAGTTCAAAGACTGAATGATTAAAAAGTGCTTTATGTAGGTCAGTAGGACTTCTTTCTTCTACGATTATTACAAAGTTTGTACATTAGCATGTATCATCTGTAAAGGCAAACAAAAGTAATTTAATGACATCATATTTAGAATAATTGGCAACTGCTTTTAATTGTGTCCCACGACTAAAAAAACAGGGGGAAAAAAATGTGAGAAGAAAATACTCACCATGATACCACCATTTTGTCTTCTTTGGATTTTTGTTACACGTTCTTACATAAAAGGAATTATCAGGCGGTCGTCGCTGCAGACAAAAAAAACAAGAATTTAGATTTAACATTTAACAAAGACATAATTTACATGAATCACTATATTTATCCCTCCCCCAGACATCATTACAGGCTCCGTACCTTTTCTTTGCAGCTGGACAACATGCTGATAATGCTAAGACAAACTGACTGCACTGAGAGGGCTGGCGACCAATCTTCCGTTAGAATAGACAGACAGATGTGACCGTTGCTATACACATGAGGGTGGACAGGTATATTCTCTCCCGTGAACATTACCTGCAAGAGTGAAACAAAGGTGGTGAGTATGTGATGCTAAAAAGATAAAATAAAGATTTTGGTGTTCTAAGATACAACTTGGGAGAGTACAAGTTGGGGAAAAAAAAGTTTGTTTTTTTTTCCATTAATGACAGAAAGTAATGAGACTTGCTGTATAAGCTCAGGCTTAGCCCTCTACAGCGACATGAGGCTCTGGGATTAGGACAGAGGGGCCGGGATGGGGTGAGAGAGGGGAAGAGAGAGCGAGAGACTAAGAGAGGAGACACACTCAATAAAAAGGATCAGAGGCCATTAGCCACTGAAAGGGTGCGAGACTCAGGGCTAACCAGGGAGATACAGTAAGTGTGATGAGGACAAGGAACTCAAGATTGTGGATGTGAAGTACGGAGGAGGGAAAGTGGGTAAGGAGGGTAGTGAAGGGTAACAATGGGTTGAGGCAGTCTGGCACCAGATACGGCCTCACAGGAGAGTGCAGGCTTCACTTCACAGGGGGATGGGGGGGTGTTGTGTGACAGGATGAGTGTTACAGATAGGAGCAGAGAGTAAAGCTGGCACTACACTCAAAACATCAAGACAAATGAAAGCTCCTTGCTTGCAGGAAAGTTAAAATATTTACTGAAATGTCTG